TCATTAAACTTTATTCAAATGTTCATTAATTGACAAAGATATTACAAAAATATTAAAGCCGCGAGTATTTTTTAAATGTGTTCACAGTAAATTTAATATCGATCCCAAGACCCTTAACCAACAGTGTTAGGCAAAATCGATTAAATTTACGATTATTAACGAATAATGACTAAAACCATAGTTATTTCAATCTTAATCATAACAGTAATTAGTAAAATGAGCAAATGTATTTTTAATTATTAGTTAGTGATTAAAATACATGTGGTTTCCTCTTAACTTTTAAAGTTTTCACCGCTCCATTAATTTTCGGTTATTCATTTCATTAATTACTCAACGCGTTCTTACATAACTACAAATTAGCGAAAAACGATAAAAGATATACTCCATGCGATTAACGATTAGATTATAGATATACCGCTGTTGTTTACATTTACAACCCTGTATAGGACTGCAGTACATAATAACATGCTGCCTGCAAACATAGTTCAGACAATGCGAGAGAAATTATTTTAGCGTCGGAGATGTGCTTATTTCTAGAAACTTCGACGGCAACAAAAGAAACAAAAGTTCATTTTATTATTCTTCATCAAAGAATTGAATAACATTTTGTTTATTATAGGCCGTTCTTTGTGCAGTGACATACATTCATTCAGTAGCAGTTGATAAAACGTTTCTACGCGGACTTGTTTTAAATTTTATCATAACACGACCATTGCATTCCACGTGCAGGTTGGGTATAAGGGCACGTACAAGTATTAAGATATCAAACACGCCCTTAAATTATATGAATCAAATGAATCGCCGAGGAATAAATGAATAAAATACGGTAAGCGGTTAAAACACAATGCGCTGTATTATTATTATTATTGTTATGTTATTTTGCGTGCCTATATTGATTTTTTTCACCGAGTCGGTCGAATATCAAAGGTTGAAGAACAGGGAAAAAGAATTCGCATAACTTCGACAACGTCGAGTATAAATCAATCTTGAGACTATTTACTGGCCGCTCGACTACACGTATACATTGGTAATAAAACGAAACATTACCGGCCATAAACGCTGTGTACTTCTTGGCGTATTCGTGCAGAGTAGGTATGATGCGCATTTTTATTTTTCAACCACAGCGACCATAAAAAGAGTTGGCGACGGAAAAAATATGAATTTTATCGTTTAACAGCCAAGTCATAACATTGTATTTCGAGAAGTTTTATTGTTGAAATAAAAATGCACTTGGTATTTTTTCTATACCTACTCATGATGCCAACCAAATTGCTGTGAACTAAAGAGGGCAATTTATTAGGACCAGATATTATTATTATTTTTTTTAACAACCCTATTTTGACAAGGTAAAGAAGAACGATTGCGTAGTCTGTACATTATATTATAAAGTGAAAAAGTTTCGCCTCCCTGCATTGGTTTTCACTTTTCACGAATTAATGCAGTATAATATAGCAGCTACAATTTCGGTCTACCAACGAAGCGTAAAGTTATATTGTCTTAGTAGTATTGGTTATTGTTTTATTAGGGGAAAATGCAAATGTTTTAGGATCAGGTCGACAAATAGAACGAAATATGTAAATTCATTTTGAGCTCCTATAGATAAAACGAAATCTTTTAGCGTTTTATTTATTTTGTACTATCCTCTTGACTATAAGTTTTCAATTTAAACTAAAAATTTTTTAAAAAAAAGTTATTGTGAGACTAATTTTCCGATAAATCCATCTTAAATTGTTTACTGACGTCGACTCACTTCAGAGTCCATGTCCATAGTCAACGTTTCGCATTCGTGACCATATCTGCGGATGTAGTTCAGATTACATCCTAACATTTACCAACAATGTAAAGGTAATTTTATTTTATTTTAATGAAAACATGTAATACATTTTATATTATTGGATAACATTTAGGTAATTTGTTTATTATTTTTAAAGTAATATTTGATATTTTTTAGGCCAACTTTCAAACTCTAGTTGTAACATCATAATATTAAATACATGAGGAATCTGTTGCAATAAAAACGATGAGCGCTACTGCGGTTTGGCATTATTCAGAGAGTTGTATTTCACAACGCGTTCGATTCATTTATGAAGGTCGGAAATATAATTAGTGCTGAAAACGGGTGCACGAAGAAAGACTATGTATTATATATATTACATACTTATTATGGTATAGGATGTAAGATAATACATTTTGTACCTCAAGCCAGTTTCGTAATAATTAGGCCGTAACCGCGTACACGAGATAAGTATATACACTGAAATAAGCCTGCAGCATTATGGTTATTACTACCATTTTGTTTAAGGTTTTTTAAAAATTAGGAAAAAGGAAGGTACCTATGCAGTTCCGTGCGCAAAGAACCACATTTTGTTATTTTTACTTATAAAAATAAGTTTATTTTTTTAATAATATCCTGAATATGCAGTGTCCTAATTTCCACAACAAACAGCCGCTAATTGCTATCGGTTACTTAGTTACTACTTCGTTTTTAGTGCATAATATGTGTACTTTGAAAACGTATTAGTTAATAATTGTAGATATAGCTGAAGAGAGATTGTGGCATGTTATTACTAGAACGGCAGTTAAATCGTTTTGGAGGAAAAATCGTAAACACTATTCTTATGAGTTCTCGATGTATGTTATTGTCTACAAATCATCCAACATTAAATAATGTTTATAAGGAAAAAAACCCGTTATTTTTTACATCGACGTGGTCTTAAAAACATTAATTCATCATTGTTTATTAATTAATTTGTCATATTTTTACATAATTGTTTTATGTATTATATTATCTTCAATCTTTGACCAGTTTAACGAGTAAAATTTAACAATTTTTAAAAGTTTCCTAATTCCCATGTACCTACTCCTACATATCATATAATCTATCAACAGACAACCCCGATTAAGATTCAGGTCCTTGTCATGTGATTTGTTTACATTGGTACTTGACATATATATATATATATATATATATTAATATCATATCACCATTAATAGACTAAAGACACTGTTTATTTTATAATAATGTAAAGTTTTTTTATGCTAATATTATTACGAAGTGTCCTTTCAACTCGTACCCAATAACCATGTATATATTATAATACATTATGTATATTATTTATCGGTATAAACTTGTATTTGGATGGCTCTTTTTCTTTTCCAAATATGATCAGTTTTATTACCGACCATTCTTGACGCACTGCGCCCATTGGATTCTCTTCCAAGCAAAAACAATTTGATTATAATATTTTATTGTATGTGAGTAATTCAAAGAGAGGTCACGTTAGGTTTATGGAACAGGTAGGTTCTTTGGCGCTTCTTTAATAATAACTTATAATACTTACTCGTATTATTGGTCTATTATAAGGTTTATATTTTATTTTTGTACTTCATACGGCGTTGTAATTTAAATTCGCATAATCAATTAGTTTTAATGTTTGAATAATTCCCATCTCTGGTACCTACCTGCTTAGGTATCGTATACCTAATATAGGTAGATGAGAAATGCTAATATTGTGTTAACAAATTTAGTTTAGAAAAAAAAACCGTGTTGCATGCAAAATATCTACGTGTTCAAGTTTGTTTGTAGTTATTCAAATATTATTTGCCAAGTTGAAGGGAGTGGACAGACTTCAAAACTACGGTTTAAACGATGCCGCCTAACACGATTACGCAAGGTCATTGGAATAATGAAGTACTATGGAATAGTAAATTGAAATAAGTGGATGTATAAAATAATCTGATTTTTATTTTATTTTATTAATGACTCAAAACTCGTTATCACCTAAAAATACTAATAATAATAATTATTAAACACTCGTTTTGTCGTGTTGTTCATAATAATTTGTGTTATTTTAATAATGTGTTGTGTTTTATAATAAAGGGAGGGGGGTTACTGTATGTGTCACACTCATACAACTTTGCAATTATACATATCCACCATTAAAGTAAACGTGTCGACTGTCGAAGAAGCAAAAACAATGATAAGTACTAAATTCGATCTTCCATTGAGGTGATTAAGTGAGTAGCGTAGTATCTGATGGCAAAAGATAATTTATACCATTATGTCTAATTTATTAAGTAGTTATGATAGTAATTTGTTTATACTATTATAAAGAATGTACTTTTATTTGTTTTTCCTTTCATATTAATCATCATATTTCCAATAGCCAGTTTATTTAGTTACCAGGGAAATAAAAGCCATTTGTCGTGTGTTCGAGATGATTCCTATAAAGATATGACTATATCACTGTGTTTGATACCCCAACATAGTTCCTTTTTTTCCTCTGTAAAAAAAACATGTGCTATATTATGTATAGGTATTAATATAGGCTTGACGACTCAATGTCATGTATGTTAGAAATATGTCATGTAAAACAAATCAAATACATTGTAGTATATCAACAAAAATATGATAGATATTGTATAGGTACTATTTTTTACCTTGGTCGGGGCCATGGGCAATGGGCCCTGCGTTTTCTCATAGGCGGATAAGCCCTTAGGCCGCTGTGTCTATAGGTTATTCCGGCTAAGAACGTTACATTGTATTGTCGTATATTAAATTAATTAGGCTTTAGACTTGTAGGTCAGCCCGTGAGAAGACTTGACGGGCTTTGGATATGTTAATTTATTAAATCGTTGCACGAGATTCGATAATGTTACCATTGACAGTAAACGAGTTGATGACAAGAGTAACTTCCGCTCACACAGTGTAAATACAATTAACTATTCCTAAAAAAAAAAAAGTGGTTCTAGAATGGTCGAGATTATACGGGCAGATACTGGAATCTAGACAGTATTTAATAACAATAATAATTATTAGAAATTATTGTAGATAGGTACCTGATACCATCAGCAGCGGCTATAGGTATATCGGATAACCGGTCGGCTCGTGGACAACGTCTGTTGGTACGCCTGCATCTACCGCCGTACAGTTGGTAATCGGTTGTCCGGCAAAGAGCCGCACGATTCCATCGAAACCACCGCGACGGCCGACGGCGGCGGCGGCCGACCGCCGAGTCAGTGCACCAACAGCTAACGGGTCGGTCGTTGTTGTCTCGCAATCGTTCCGTTCACACTATTATTAGTACTGTAATCATAATATAATATTTGAAATTATCATCGTGAATTTTTATAACGTATTTTTTTTCTATACTTAATATTGTTGTTTTCGAACGTTTTACGTTTATTGAACATCTTATTGTTTCGTTGACGGGTTTTACAGTTGGTTTTTAATACATACATATATATAAGTTCGGTGTATCGTGTTCGCGTGTATCGCCCCGAACGACTAACGGACTTAACACCACTGTTGCAGTTTTCGTCAGTTTGGTAAGTCGACTCGATTAACATATAACTTTCGGTTTTGGTAATCATTTTCCCTTCAAAAAAATATTAATGTTGTCCAAAAATACACCGAAGCGACGTCGCGCACCTTTAATTTTTTAATTTTTAAAAAAAGGCTCATTTACTACTGATACCGTTTCCCCGTGTTTTTTAAGTGTACACATTGCGCCTGTACACAGACATCGGGCAAACACCAAACAGGTTGCATCGTAAACCGGGGGGATGTACCTGCCGCCTTGATACCCTCCACCCCTGGCTTGTCAGGTACAATACAATGCATGTGTATACGCATTCCTTTTTGACCATATATATGTATATATATATTTAGGGTTGTCTCCTACCACGCCTTGCCTGAACGTCTATTATTGTTGTCATTATTATTATTGTTGTGCAGTGGAATCACGTTTTATTCATTATTATTTTTATTACATTATAGTTATTATTATAGCGTATGTGTGCAATGGTTGTGGACGTCGTATTCTTTGCTATGGTGTCTGTCTGGTATTTTTGTAAGGTTCTCCATTCATACCAACGGTGCTAGCATATCACAACCAGGACGCGTCCACGATACTATCTCTATAATAATAATAATATTATTATAAATATCTACTCTAACGCGGACTGTCACAATCTGTCTGTCGTACATGCAAATCAAATCCGGACAACTTCCTACTTCCCTTTTGTGCTTGTTTGTGTTAAGCCAAGTTATATTTTGGATTTTACTTTCGAATTGCATAATGATACTCATTATATTTCATTATTTTGCAATGTCCGTTGACTATTGGGTCTAGTTTGTGTATTGGTCTTGGCCAGACAGTAACTAGTTATTTTGCATAATTTAAAAATTACAATTTTATTTTTTTCAAAATAATTTGTTGCCTAACCGGGTTAACCCAAATTAGATTCGACATGCTTGTTTTTAATAAACTATTTAGTTAAATATTATCTATAACATTAGAATAAACCAAATACCACCAGACTCGTTCTAACGCTCTAATAAAGTGTATCCGGCCGGAAACTCGGATTACTTTGGTCTTGGTAGCTATATTAATAGTAATTTTAATAATAATAATAGTAGGTAATAATAATTGAACGCGTGTTATTTTTTATTTTATACAAAATTTAAGTGGGAAGTGTGTGCAGGAAGCCTTTGCATAGTAGGTATCTTAACAATATTAATAGATTCTATATAATTATATTATTATTATTCAAAGCTCTTAAAGAAAATTAATTCCATAACCAGTTTACTGTTTTGTTGGTTTTCAACTTGTATTTAAAAAAAAAAAATGGCAAACATCCATATTTTAAATGTTAAAACAATCCGGTTTTGTCGGGCTCGGTCGTATCAATCTGCTGGTTCTTTTTTAATTTCCACGTAGGTAAAAAATTTTGCTGGCGAATAATTCGTGTGGAAGTGAAATTAAAAGTCTTATTCGACTTTTATCGTTTATATATCTCGTTTATATGTCTTTCTACATCACAACTCTAATGTTGTACTCCCTTGGAGACTAGTGAATAAACGCTTTCGGATATCCTGTTTTGTACTTTCGTTTGCCATCACGTGATAAACATACGTAAGCCACGGAAACAATGGGAAGACGGGAATATTGAAGGTGATAATAATAGTAAGATTATCTTCAATAAAACACCGTCCGTTTTCAATTTATATATTATATACATACAAGCCGAGAAAGTGGCATAAGTCTATCGGTTCGTTTGGACCACCGACAGACGACAGCTAGCTGTATTAAACCTCCACTGGCGGTCATAAACAAAATTTAAAAAATAAATAGATGGTTTCTAATGCTGTACAAGAGCTGGGCTGTACACGGAAAAAAATAAATAGTTGGTCCAACAACTACAAAACAAAAATTTCAGTTTTTTCCATACTCGATAACGGTTACTTCTCATTATATTATTATGTTGTGCGTTTATTAACACAGAACACTCCGGACTATGGTTGATCGGTAGTCATAGTATATAATATTACCTACTGTGTACATTGATACTTGTAACTTGCAACAACAACCTAAGTATATTATATTTTATTGCTATCGACAACGGCCCGGTCGAGTGGATATTCGTTTGACTTCCGATGAGTCATGTTCGGGTTACGATGGAAGATATGTATATACACACCTTTGTGTGTAAATTAATATTATGTTGGTTGATAACGTGTTACTTTCCGGAGCAAGACGATATCCGAAACGTTACATAACGACTTATCGTGTTTAGGTTAGTGTACCTGCAGTCACATTATAGTACCTTTATGTTTATATATATATATATATATATACAGATATACATAACCTTACGTACGTTTACCTAAATAACAAGAGTCTTAACGACCGGCAGACGTGGAAACGACATTCTGTCTGCGACGGTTGGCATTAACCTATTATAGGTGGTCTTATCTTCTTTGAAACCAACTTTTCACATGCACGTACGTACGTTTGTACGGGTATTTTTCAAATCTTCCAAAATGAATCTAGTAATCTATTCACCAATTATTAAGTACCAATAATAGGACTACAAAGTAAAAAATAAAAAAAAACTTTTTTAAAAACATGATTTTCTATAGAACAGTAAAAAAGTGAACTAAAAAGTAAAGAATAATTTTACTACATAAAACAATTTACCAATGAATTGTAGCGCATTTTATTTAAAATACAAATTACTTTGAAAATTAACTACAATTTTAAATAATGTTAAACATCTCTAATTTTTTACTAATAAGAAAAGCGTGGGCCCTATTCAACAAAGTCCTAATTCATTGAGTTAAATATTATGAAATGTATGTGTCACACACTAATATTGAACCAAATTTAAATTACAAAAAAACTTACGATATAAAACATTATCTGATCAATTTATTATTAAAATTATTGGATTTTAACCGTTTATTGTTTCATTTTTGCGTTTGAAAAACAATTTGAATTGTATTGGATATTCGAAAACTCAAAATAATAGTAACTATTTATATTTTTCGAAAATTCGGATTGTTATAGTCGTCGGTCGGTGGTGCCCCGGTATCCACGCCCCTTTAAAAAACACGAGACCAGGAAAAACGCATTCACATAGTACTCACACACATATAAGTATGACAAATAAATAGTAATCATAACACAATACCGGCTTTGCCATTCACGTGCCGGCGGCTTTCGCGGTTTAATTAAATATAATAATTAATTTATAAAGCTCGCTTGTGACCTTGTTCCTCATGCTATACATACGAATCTATATATATAGAAATTTATATATACGGTATATATTATGTGGTGAATATTTTGTGGCCCGTATACTAACCAGGAACTGCGGCAAAGCGTAACGCATGTTATATGGGCCATGATTTAAATCCGCAGTTTATTCAGATTCTGTTCTAAGAATAATGTTCGCATCTGTTAGCAATTTAAATAGTTGACACTGATTAGAAGGATACAATTATTCAAAAGACGTATCAAGAATAGAACATTTGAAATGCATGCACACAGCGTACCTACCTGTGCCCTGGCGAGTGTTATCACGATAGTATATTACGGCCATATGCCGTCAATAACAGCTGGTAGATCGTTCGACTATGCGGTTTTAGCAAAATTCTATGAACAAAAAAACCTAACCTAACCCAACGCGCCGTGCTAGATAATATTGTGTTCTAGCGAAACAATACACGGTGTTTATCAGCATGACGTGTTATCTGTTTTACTATGAGAAACACGTTACTACATGTATGCAATCATTTAATACTTCTGTTCTCGATAATAAGCTGTGCACGACAAAGCATTCTGTTACTTTTAACAGTAGCTTTTGGACTTTAAAATTGGCCCGTAAGTTTGGAAAGAGAAATGGTGATACTTTTTTCTATCCATTTGTTATGACTTATGACCGATAACGACGACTACTGTACGCCGGTATTAACCTACCTATAAATCAGTTTTTTTTTTTTTTTAGTTTCCCAATCGTCGCGTGTTTTAAAACCATGCGAATATCATTATGTTATTCGTACCTTATCTTAATTGTTATTGCCATTCGTGTTTTTTCGACTTTAACAATGAGTGTAAAAAACGTCGCAGTAGGTTTTACAGTGGCTAACCTAACCTTATCTTTGGCGACCGAATTTATAATATTGTTAAACTATTATCATTGATCATGGCCCATGGGAGAGGCGGTGGTTGGATTGTACTAGCACAATACTATTACGTGTCGCTCATCACTAGTTAATTGGACAAAAATGTCATTTGCATAAATACCGCCGTTAAGATAGCGTCCATATAGAAGTAGATCCCTATAATGGAAACGCATACATGGCGTATCATTCACTATGTGAAGTTGCGGATAAAAGAATCTCGCATAAGTCATGGTCCATAGAACACCCGACAGACGCGGGCACTGCTAATGCCGCGACTCCAGTAAATCGGTTCCTACGGCAAAAAAAATTTGCTAAAAAATTTATAGATGACTGCTTTGCGGTCGACACGCCAGCGTGCCATCGTTTAGTAATTACTCGGGCATTATTATTTTTGATTTTTTCACTGGAACCGAACACGACCAGTAGTTGTCATGTACATTGTTAAATGTGGCTTTTTTCGAAAATACAATTTCATTATTCGCGAGTTAACATGTTTTTGATTTACCTCGGTGCTCGCTTGTACCCGGCACGGGCATCGTATAGGCGTGTAACAATGCTGTATTATTATTATTGAATAGCTAATTACTCACTGTATATAACAACCAAGTATAACGTATTTAATATAACACCCAACCGGCGATGCATGCTTTATGGATTTGTACAACGCCTATTTTTTTTTCTACACAGAAAACAAATGTATAGCTTAGTTTACGCAAAAACAACATTACTTATACTAATTTAAATGAAAAAAAAAAAATGTTTAACAAATAACAATAGTAACGAGTATACTTATGTTTTTATAATGCAACCATTAGTGTTGGTCGTTAGAAATGCTGTTAATTTTTTTCTCTGCGGCATA